ACCCTCCTTTATATATCTGCAGTTGGTCATTAATGGGGCAGCTAAGAATATATTCTTCATAGTTTTACTCAATACTTAGTGGTCCTAAGCGTTTATAAATCTCTGGTAATGCTCTTAAGTCAATCAAAGGCTCTCATATTTTTGCCATTCGCGCTCTTCACACATAAAATAACTTTCTAGTCGATTACAATGGTTGTTCTGGTAAAACAGCTACATTTAGCGATATTAGATTCTCTTTAATGATCAAAGTATTGCGCTGAGAAAAAAGGCGATAGAATTTTTGTTCAAGAACAAATTTCTCGAAATAACAGGTAAAGTCGAGAGACTCTCTGCTATATCTTTGGAAGGATATATTCAGTATATGTTCAAGTAAAAAATTCGCGAGTTGTAGTAGGAACTGGCAGCGAATTCTGCACTTGTGATTTTTTCGGCTACTTTATTTTGTCTGCAGTTCTCAACATGCTTATAAAAATTCTATCCTAATTGCGTAGATGCCTTATTTGCATAATTCGGTTACAAAACAATGCCTATTTAAAAATTAGTCATTTATACAGGACTCATGCGCAAACATACAGACAACAAATAAGCTAATAAAAAATTTTAATAATACATAAATAATAAGAAAAAAAATTACAAAAAATAAGTACATACAAATAAAGGAGCATATAATTTTGATAAGATTTTAAGTTCATAAAAATATGTACATATGTATGAATATACATACATTACGAAATATTAAAAATAAATATATGTATGCTTAAAAGAAAGCAAAATACCTACATAAATAACATCAAAATAATATATCTATTTAAATAAAATATGTACATACATAGGTCCGATATTACTACTATGTACGGCAAAACACAATAATGTGTATTAAAATAATAACAGTTTAAAAACTTTAACGTATTCAGCAGCGATAAGCAATTAAAATATGAATGATAAAGCAGCATAAGCTATTGAATAACATATTTTTTATTAAAGAAATAACTAGCTAATTGTTTAAGCGTTTAAAAAATAAGCTTTTACTGCTTAAGATAATGCAAAAGCTGAAGATCTATTGAAAAAGCGAAAAAATCAATTTTTTTTTCACGAGTTTTTTTCCAGTTTAAAATCAATTTAAGTAATACGAAAAATTTTTTACTCATGATTTTTCAGATTTCATTGTTCACAAATTTATTATATTTTTATAATCTTGTCTAAATATTTGTCTATTTAAAATTTGTAAAAAAAAAATTTATGTAATTGTTTTTTTTTTTAATTTCTTCAACAATATTTTGCTCACAATGTCAAAAGATTATTTCGATTAGACTTTCGAGAAACTGTGCACATTTCTATAGTGCATAATTGCAATATTTTTAAATTTATACCAGATTTTAGACCTTTTTCTTTGGGAATCAGTTAAGGAGGCTTTTACAATATACTCCCTATTTATTTTGTTATACAAGTTTTTATACCGGTTCGAAAAATCAATTTTTTCGCATTGTAAGATTTTTGAAGAAGTGTACATTTCAATGGCCGATTATTGCAAATATTTTGTACATACCAGATTTTTAACGCTTTTTCATTTGAAAAAATAGGCAGCGCTTCCTTTTGTTTATACCAGTTTTTCGACCAGTTCGAAAAATCACGTTTTCTGTACTGGATTGGACGCTCTTAAATTTATAGCAATGTTTTGCCAAAGACCAGTTTAAATGGCTGTCTGAAATATATCGTGAACGATAAATTTATGTATATATATTTTTTACTAGTTTTTGAACATATTAGAAAAGTATTTTCTTTTTGGTTATTGTTGTTTCCGGCGGGGTGGGTGTATGATGTATTTTGGAACGAACTTCCGTCATCCCTTGCCAAATTGGGCCGAAACCAAAATACATCAACAATATTTTCCCTAAGTTTATTTTTGCAAATAATTTAAACGTGGAAGTACATCCCGACGGGCATACGTATAATAGCTGTAAAGCTATTGCGCACACAGTCAATAAAAATGTTCATTATTTAGCCTATTTTCCATCAAAATCAAAAATTTAATTTGCTTTTAGTTGTAAAACATTAAAAAAAAAAAACATATTCAAAATGTCAGTTTTCGGCCAGTTTCGAAAAAATCAAAATTGGCGTCGTCGATTCGACAAAGCATATACTTCTCGAATTAATACTGAACTATTATTACTGCTGTATCTAAATTTGATTTTTTTTTTTAATTTTAAAAATTTTTCAAAAAAATCGTTCAGGTTTTTTTTAAATTATTTTTTCTTCAATTGCAAGTCGGCGTTTTTTTAAACAGATTAAAATTGTCTACAAATAAAAATTACCTTAAAAATACATATTTATAACTTATATTTATAGACGCATATACTCATCCCACAATAACTGCAACTAACAGGCATACATACATACACAGAAAATATGTATGTATGCATACATTTAAGTATATAAAATTGTAGCCACTTAATCCCGCATTAGACTCTGTACCACTATATGTATTAGCCAAAGCAAACTTCCTTAAATACTCAACCGATCTAAGTATATACATACATTTAGATATATCAGTTTGCAGTAGATTTTCAAACACCAATCAGTAAACTATTTAATCTCTAAACTTAAATGCATCGCTGCATAAGAATTAACACAAGCCGCCATATAATTATGTACGTAGGATCGTAGTACTTTTCTCTGATCGCTCTTAACTTATCTTAACTTTCTTGACATCATATAAATATGTATGTATGTACTCGTGTGTATGAACTATTCTATTTATGCTTGATATATTTATCCATGTATACATATATACATACATATGTAATTATTGAGCTGATGATACTCCGCAACAAGAACTAAAAACATAAGAGCCGAAAGTATGAACTGATATAAAACTACGAGTAAAATGAAATGGAGTACCCTAATGAATAAAATGTAAAACTATTTAAAAACAGACGCGAAGTTAAAGAGAATCGGCGTAAAACACGAAATAGGTGTAAAATAAAAAAAATATATATATGCTTGAAAATAGATTTAAAATGTTTTAAACTTTTTTAGGTGCAAAATTAATTTGTAAAAAACTATTGTTTCGTAAAAAATCAAAAAACGGAATATTTTTAAATAAAAAAAAGCTATGTTTCTTTTTACAAGTTTCTTTTCATTATATGTAGATTTAAAAAGTGTTGCATGAAATTTTTAAGCATATTGCTTTTGCATCTTGAGTTGAGAAATGAGTAAAATGTGCTAAAGAGCAAGAAAAAACACATATTTTTTTAATATGTTTAATAAATATTCAAAATACAAAGATACATATTTATATTTTCAGTTATTTGCTATTATGTGAAGGCTTATTGTAATTGTTTCATATAAAAAAAAAAATAAATTTGCTTTCATCAAAAAGAGGCCGAAAATTATGCTTTAATGTTCAAATTTTGAGGGAAAAAATATTTGAGAAATAAATTTTTACCAAAAAACCAAAAAAAACGTTTTCATGGTAGCAACAAAATAAAAGATACTAAAAACGTGAAGAAAAAATTTTTTGAAGCGGAACTTTTATTTTGAAAATGTCGCATTATTTAAATAAACGAGAAATAACCACATAAATATTAAAATTGTCTTTACGAAATATTAATTTCCATGCGTTTCACCTGAAAATTCTTCACCAAAAATATATTTTTTAAATTTTATTTTAAGGGCTTACAGTGGAAACTAATTTAAGCTAAGTTTATTTGCTGCTAAATATTTACAAATATAAAATATTATTAGCGAAAATAAAAATGTATTTATGATTAAGCGATAAAACAAAATTCGTTGTATTATTAAATTGTTTATCGAAGTTAAAGGAAAGTGCGTAAGTATGGGCTAAAATTTCGAAGTTCGAAAGAGTAAACATATTTCAATGGCACAGAATTACGATTTATTTTTTCAATACAAATTTTTAAAGAATGATTCTTTTGATCGCTGCTAGAGTTTATAACAGTTATTCGATTAGTCATCAAAATAATTTTTTCGCTCTATAAGCACTTAAGTGAACTTTTGAGAAAGTATGCATATTTCAATGACACACATTTTCGATATTTTAAATTTTAAACCAGATTTTACAGCGGTTACGTGCGCTTTTCCGTTGTGGATCATTTTATAACGTTTGTATTTTATATCCGACCTTTTTTGTGTTTATACCAGTTGTTATACCAGTTGAAAAATTCTTTATTCGCCACATGAGCACTTAAGTATGTAAACTTTAGGAGAAAGTAAGTTCATTAAAAGACACCCAATTGATATAAACTTCATTTTCCAACCTTCAATTCACTATTTTTCGACCGGTTTAGTAAACATTTCTTTATTTTTTTTTTATTTTTTATATTAGTAATAAAAAGAATACACCCAATCCTTAAACCGTGAATAGTAATATTAAGCGCCATTTTTGTAGCAAAACTGTATCCAAAGTATGTTAGGCCAGTTTTATTTTGAAAGTTATATATATAATCGCTGCGTTGTAGAAAGTTTTACTTCGCGTTGAATTTAAACTTTAAAGATTTTGCGATATTATACCAGTAACTATTTTAGGCCGGCTCTACTGATAATAGGGTAATAGGGACAGTTTTCCGGAAATTTTAAAATTTCTGGGTAAAAAGTGTTATTAAAGTCGTTTCCATAGATTTTTTGGCTTCACTTTGCTGTTGTGACAGCTTAATTGCAGAATGCTGCTAAAGTCACAATCTTTGGCCAGACCTACACAGATGCGGCCGTGATGGGTTACATGTTGTGACTGGCTTTAGTTCAGAGCTGAAAGCCGTTGTGGTTGTGCCACAAATGAGAGTTGTTTACCAGAATCTTCTGGCATCTAGCCTCTTCCATTCATATCAAAATATCGATTTAAATAACTATCCTGAAATGGGTATGTTTTTATTCTCTACCGCAAAATTGGGGTAACTTCACATACGCGATTTTACATTAACTTGATACGCAATTTTGTACTTTAGACGACGATGTTATTTTTTTAATTTTATTGCATTTATATTTTAGACTAGTGCTTTTTCATTGCTGTTGTTTCAACAATGCATTGGATGATAATAACTACATATTAAAACAAAAAAATATAATAAATATTTTAGACCAGTTTTTCAGCTTGAAACTTCAGCCGAATTTACGTTGCAGACCACAAAATTCTATATATTTATGCATTTCACCGATGTTTGAATTTAGACCAGTTTTGATTTTTAGACAAGTTTTTATTTTAGACCAGTCAGTTGAAATTATTTTTTTACATACATATATGACCAATTCGCACGTTGTATTATATAACTGGGTATCGAAATATTGAGTGGTATAAAAAGATTTTAAACCAGTTTTTTCGGCACTCAATTTTGAACAGAATTCAAGACAGACAACTCATTTATTTCAGTGAAATAAATTATATTATTCTTACCCATTCTAAACTTGGCATTTTACCACTTACCACGAACCTTCTCCTTTATTTCCAAACTTTGAAATAAAAATTCACAAATATTTGCATATGTTTTTTTCGTTTTTCGTTTATAGTTTTATTTATATGTTTTTTGTTTTGTTTTTTTTTTCTGTTTTCTCTTATTGTTTTCGCGTTTCGAACTCATGCTTAATATATTTCACTTTTTTTTTTTTGCTTTTCCTTTATCGACCTAACAGTTCTAGTTTTTTACGTTTTTATACGCAAGTAATTTTGCTTTTCACAAGTTCGCAGAGCGCACCGAAAGTCTCTTCACCAAATTTTTTAGGATTTTTGTGTTTAAATATTTCGCATACATTTTCTATAAATATTTTTATGCATGATTACATACATAATTTCTATGTGGTAATTTTTCCATCGTGTGTTTTATAATATTGAATATTGATTTGTTTTAATAAATTTTACGATTTCCGATATACTTTTATTATCTAGTAAGTATTTTAAACGATTTTTTCAGAGTTTTAAGGGCATAAATTTCTTATAAATGTGTGTCTGCTATACGATAACTACGCGATTATTAATTATATTAATTGTAATAATAAATTAATTAATTCCCTTTAATTAAATATAGTTTAATTTTATTTAAGTCTAAAAAACAGCAGCAAATCAAACATCGTATTTATGTATGTATAGATAACAGCGCAAATGAGGCGAAACTTTAACTTTCGAATTATTCGTTTTTGTTTTTTTGTTACTTAAAATTTATTTTGCAGACTTTTATACAACTTCTTGATATTTTTTTTTTGCACAGTGTATAAGGTACAGGATGCATTGCTTTATAATTTATCATTTACGTAGCTAAGCAATTAAATATTGAAACTATGTATTGGAAAGGAAAAACTAAAATGAATGCCAGCATTTTTCGTTTTCTATTTGCTTTCATCTTTTGTGTGTGTGTGTGTGTGTGTGTGTGTGTGTGTGTGTGTGTATGTGTTCCTAAGCAAGCAACGCAAGCTTTTGTGTCTGACTGTAAATTCTACTAAAGTGTGTTGCATGGTATAACTTTATAATCTGTTCATTGTTATTATTGTAGTTGTTGCTATTAGATATGTGGTTTAACATAATAAATTAAGCTACAGCAGTAAGTTAAACTTAAGATTTTTTTAATTGTATTTCTGTTTGATTTCCGTAATTTAAGCAGTAATGCAATATATGTATATTATAGTTTTTAAGTATTTGTTTTACATATAAATATTTTATTTTCGTATATTATAGAGGTTCATTGAACACTGCATAGATATACATACATACAATTTACTTAATAATTTATTGTGGTTGATAGTTGCTTTAATCGTTTACTTCGAAATTATTTTTACCAAACGGATTTTGGTTTAATACGATATTATTTTCAATACACAGAGCCGATTTTTTCCACAAATTACGATTAAATCCTTTCACAAAGTTCGAATGTGGGAACGTGGCTGATTATTTGGTTACTTTTGTATAGGTGAAATAAGGGGCATTCATACAAAATTTAATAAAAAATAAATTCAACAAAAACTAAAAGCAACAGTATTATAACCGAATGTATTTTATGAACAAAAAATAGTTCATCAGCGAAGAGCTACATATATTTATCAGGCTCATTTCAGTGAATTAGAACCAAAGTCACTTTGAATTCAGTTTGAATGGGAGTGAAATTCACTCGGTAGTGAATTGCTGAACCTGGCTGTATATATCATTCATCTAAGAGGAAAACACGGTCTTCGAGCTAATTTTAATGAAAATTTGTAGTCTTAAGCTAACAAGAAGTAATAATTTGATCTCCCTAATAGGCACGTGTATACCAGTTTCTGGAAGTTTCTTGGCTAGCATTTCTAGGCATTAAGGAAATTTGAAAAAAATAGCGATAGACTAATGTGTATAACAGTTTAATAACCTCCTAAATTAAGTTCAAGCTACGCAGAATGGTTTGGGATTTTAATTGCTGTTGTAAACAAAATTTATACCAGTTAACTAACTTCCTATATTAAGTTTAAGTAGTCTAATTTTGGATTTTAATTGGTGTTGTAAACAAAATTTTGAATTCATTTTTTGAGAGATATTTTTCTAAGTTTGCAAAGTAAGTTACGCAGTTTTTGTGGAAAAAAATCCCGATTCGGAACATCTTTAAAACATGTTTGTATTAGTTGCACATTGCATTTTTGGGTGAAATCTATTATCTTTCCAGACATGTGCAAGTGAATGCTTTGCATTCTCAAGCATAACATTTATTTATACGAAGTTTTTTAGTTTTCTGCTAGAAATTAGTAGAATTTTGGATAGTGCAGCTCTAAACCCCTTAACCGACAGCGCTTATGAGTTGCCTTGGAATATTTTTCGCTTATTATGCCACGTTACACTAAACCGCTACTGTAAATCGTTTATGCCAGATTTTATGCCAGTTTTTAAAACTAATTTTCTGGACATTTTCACATAAATTTAGAATATTTTCCTATCAAGTATGTCTGCTGGCACCAAAATTAAGGAAAAACTTTATACCAGTTTTGAAAAATACTTTTCGAATTTTTTAACGTGTATTTAGTATACTATTTTTGTCTAAAGTATGCTTGCGAAGTAAATTAAAAATGTTTTCCTCTTAGGTGTGTCTCCTACCACTGAAATTGCTCAAATTATTTCATACCAAATTTTAGACCAGTTTCCGAATATGTTGCAATTTTTTGGAAAAATTTATATTTGTTAAAAACGCAACACATAAACATTTCCCAAACAAATTTCAATAAAAACCTTAAACGTAGAACGTTTTGGGGAATATACAGTGGCTCAAACAAATATCACGTGTTGATTTTTTTCTAAATATTCGTAATGTTCTTCGAGCTAATTTTTTTTATATTTTTCTGTAAACATACAGTTTAAGCTTTCAATTGGCAAAAAAATCGCGTTGATTTGTGATATTTTTTTTTTTTTTAGACTGCTTTTGCGGTTTCTTTTATATAACAAGTGCAATTTACAAAAACTGGCGTTCATTTTTTGAAATTGTGTTGCTAACAGTCTCCCACATTTTATTTCATAAGAAATTTAAGCTTGATTGGAAAAAGTCCAAAAAACCGTCACAAAAACAAATTTAAAAATCAATGGGATTTTTTACCCGTTTGAAACTTTCATATCCAAAAAATTTTCTTAAAAAATCTTGTTGAATTGATTGGACGGTATTTTTTTTATAGAAAAATAACAAAAATATATAGCTCGAAAAACATTAGGAATATTTAAAGAAATAAAACCAACACGTGGTCATTTGTTTTAATCACTGTATGTATTACATGCTCTTTACGTATGCAATTTATATACCTAAATACCAAGATACCTTTAAATTAAAAAATACATAACATACATACATAAGCCTAACACTTGACTACAACGCTTCTCTAGAAATTCTATTTCTCGCTTAAATTTGGATTGTCATTTTCAGAATTTACAGTCGATTGGCATTATTGAAAATCTGTATGCTACTGCTATTACAATACTATCTTTTAATTATTTATTTTATAATAAAATATTATCTGTGCTAACTCCGTCGCTTCGTTGCATTCGCGCTTATAAATTACCACATAATTTTCAGTTTTTTTTTTTGCTTAACATTTATGCTACATTTTTGTTGTTGTCCAACTTACACACTAAGCTAAAGACTAGGCTTACAAAATACATTACAATTCCACAAACAAGTAAACAATTACAAGTAAATTGTTTTAATCAGTCAAAAAAATATTTAAGTTTTAGATGTGTATGAAAAATAGCCAAATCGCGTCGAAGATTATTTGTGAAATAAAAAAATGTGTCTGGGCAACATAACGTGTGTATAAAATTACAAAAAAAAAATCTTACACGGTTATGTGAATAGTTTAAATTTTAAATTTTAGCTACGATACGCCGCTTTCTCCTTTCCCATTATAAAGATATATTTTTTTCCAACTGTATCGAGACATTTATAAGGAACTAGTTTCTTTATGTTTTGATGTTTCTTTTCTGCCCAATAACCTGACGAGCTTGAAATATTAAGAAATCAAAATTAGCACCTCTAAAATTGGTTTGCTCTAGCATTATCGTATTTAAATCACTCGTCAAAAACTCTCAATGCAAGATTTTACAATGCCAATTTTCTGCAGCGAATTTAGAAGCACGTAGTTTGATTTTTTCAACTATGCCAATTTTCAAGTCAAGCAGCCGTTTTACATATTTTTTACATGGTAGTAAATTTGTTACATTTTCTATGGGTAACGATATTTGTCTGGGCGCTTAAAACTAGTATGCAATTGCTAATTACACAAAGTAGACGACGTACTAACATCTTCTCTCCGGTTTTTCTTAATCTTTTTATATGGCGATTGAATTTCACATGGACTACATCAAAAGCTTCATAATTATCTTCTTTACGCTATAAATTTGCATTATCTTATATCAAGCGAAACCGTTCAGATACACAAATATCTACAGATGCACTTAATCAATACGAAGAGAGTAGTTTATTTACTTTCTGGTTCTCTAAGACCTTCATTTGTATGTGTTTATTAATAATTTGCTTTGAAACATTTTTTAAATGCTAAGTAATATTTAAATTCGCAAAATTTAATAAAGTTTACAAGTTTAGACCTCAAATAAATTTTACCGCGATTTTTTGCATAAATAAAGCCAACTTAAATATTTAGACCAGTTTTTACCAGCTGTCACAAAGGTTCAAAATAAATTTTTGGCAAGTTTTTATATAAGCAAAGCAAGAAAAGAATTAAATAATTTAGACCAGTTTTTATACCAGATTAAAATCTTTTTATTAACGGAGTTTTGCGCCGGTTTTCTTTAAAAATTAAAAGTTTTTTCATTGCTGCACGCATTTTTTTCTGCTCATATCATGTTTTTCATCGACGTCTTCTCTGGAATTCTAAAGTTAGACCATATGTTTTAGACAAATTTCAATTTCTTTAATATTATGAGCAAGTTATTTATATCATAGCTTTATATACGTTTTCGTGTTGTGAAAAAGCCTTCATTTTACTTTAAACCAAAGACTTTTTCAAGTTTCTTAGGCTCAATGCGAAATCCTTGTGCTACATGGCAACTTGTGTTATTGCCTAGCCCACTTTGCTTTAGTTTGATTAATCCCATTAATTTATTTAGCACAACGTTCAGTCCGTATAGAGTTTTTATGATTTTGTTTCGATTAAACACACCTGTTACGCACACAGATTACATACATACTTGGATAATAGCTAGCTTTAGAAATGGCTTTTTTCACTTTAAGCTTAAGAACAAAATCACAAAATTGCAACTGAAAGCGAGCACAACGCCCGACACAAAATATAGTCGCGCATAATGTTTGCGAAGAACGCCAACACCAATACAAACTACATACATACGTAAGCTGCTACTCGTCGCGCCGAAAACGCCAAAAATCACGCTCGCGCGCCAATACATCCGCCACATCCGATGCAGTCATTCGATCCACTGTCGGGCTGGTTGTAATGGGCATCGTATCTCCCGCCATATGTGTGTGTAACGCGTCTCCACTGATGCCGACTGCAAGACGAGTGGGCAAGCGTCGTGTCATTGGCGGTGCACTCAACAATGCCGTGTCATCCTGCGTGGTTGCTAACTGAACGCTACCTACGCCGCCGCTGCCGCGAACACCGCCGACGCAGTTGCTGCCACTTCGCTCGCCTGCATCCTCCTCAAATCCATACCAATATCACATGAGCATTATTTGCAGTGCTACTCATTGGTCGATCGTGCGATATATGCGTCGCTGCGGTTCGGGTGTGTAATGGATGCGGGTGCGGAAATGTTGTGGTGAGCCAGGGACGCTCTCAGAGCCCCGACGAGGCGGTGGCAATGGTGGTGAAGCGTTCACGAAACTGTAACAGTGTAAATAACGTTGTCATATTAAAAGTATCGCGCAAAAACAACCATACTCACCGCCGATTGAGCAGCGGTGAACCGCCTGGTGGCTGTCCGCTCAATTCCAGCAGTTGTTTGCGCAGCAGTAGTGGTGATTGACCGCGATTGTATCGCGGCGGTGGATCCGGACTCCGATGTCGACGATCCAAGCCTGTCAGGAGGTGCGCATTAGAGGGCCCACCAGCCATGCTGCTGGCCCCCGCCGCTGCATATCGACGCAAAAATCCGCTTGTACCATCGTAGAAGTCGCTTCCGCCAGTGTTGGCGGCGCTGCTGGCAGTGGAGACCGCAAGGCCGCTGGGCTTCGGCTGCGCATCTGTAGGGGAAGTGCTGTTGCTCGTGTTGCTGCTGCTACCTGCGGAAAGTGTGCGATAGTAGGCGAGTGTAGGTTTTACAGGTTGCGCGCTCATTGGCAGGCCACTCTCATATCCAATGCTCTCATGCTGACTAGCTGCGCTGCTGCTGGTCTGGGGAGAGGCTGCAGAATGCAATTGTAATTTAACATAGGAGGCAAATTGGCGCTTCATGGCGCCAGTGAATGTGTTAAACCAGCCTGTGATGTGGTGAATTGGAGGTGAAGATGGCATTGAAGGCCAGTGCAGGGTTTGATGAAGTGAAGTGTGGTGTGTTGATAGTCAAGTGCGGTAAGTATGAGTAATGGTGAAGATGGTGAGTAAATGAGAACGTGGTGTAGGAAGTTACAAAGAGCAGACATGTGAAAGCATTGTTGGAAAATGTGAGAATGAAAACAAATATCAGAGTGGTGAATAAGGAAATGCGATGTTTTTAGATCAAATAAATTATGTTTAGTGAAGTTTTTATGCAGAGGTATGGTGAATTATTTGACGCAAAATTGGGTAAAATTTTAGAATTTTTTTGTTTTAGCGGTGTGGTGCATTACATATACATGTATGTGTACAAAAGTGTGCAACATTTTTGTGAGGTTTATGTGTTTCAGAGGTGTGGTGAATTATTACTCCAAAAGTTTATAACATTTTAGTGTGTGATTGTGGTGTGGTGAGTTATTTATAGAAAAGTGTGTAACGTTTAAGTGAAGTTTTTATATTTAAAGTGTGCAACATTGTTTGCAAGCAAGCAAGCGTTAACATTATTAGTATATTTTTTTTCGTTTTACAGCCAAGCAAAGCATTGAAAAGGAAAAATAGAACAAATAAGAAAAGAATATGCCGTGAATTACATACATATGAGCCGAATAGTGTAGATACGAGCACCGTTGAGTAATATACTTAACGAAAACTTAAATACGAAAAGTGGGGAACTGCTTTGAACTTATAATAAATAGATTATTTACCAATTTATTATTTAAATTTCTTAACTATTCTTTCATTTAAATACGAAAATCATGAAAACTAAGTGCTTTTACAGTTTATAGAACTACCCCTACCAAAAAACTCGCTCTCGCTTAGAAAATACTTTTGAAGATTTCACCACTTTTCGTTTTAAAATGGTCTCTAGTCCCATAAAACAGGCTTCAATGCAAACCAAATATATGCAGCATACTTTTGTGAGCTCTATTTATAACGGGAAAATATATTTCTAGTAAAAAAAAGAACTGTGCTAAGGTGCAAAAAGTGCGAAAGCCAGCGGCAGTCAAAAATTAACAAACGAATCCCCTTTTCGAATTGTACACTTACCATGTTCGTCTCTGTATTCCTTGCCAGCCACGCCGCCGCCACCNTATAACGGGAAAATATATTTCTAGTAAAAAAAAGAACTGTGCTAAGGTGCGAAAAGTGCGAAAGCCAAGCGGCAGTCAAAAATTAACAAACGAATCCCCTTTTCGAATTGTACACTTACCATGTTCGTCTCTGTATTCCTTGCCAGCCACGCCGCCGCCACAACCACCACTCACCTCAGCACCCGTATGCGTTGTTAACGTTGCCGCCGTTGTCGTTTGCCACTGCCGACGCGCGTACAACTTGCTCAGCTTACTCGCCATGCTTCCGCCACTACTTCCACCGCCAGTGCCGGCGCCCCCTTCGGCGGACAACTGCTCCGGCGAAGTAGGCGGCGAACGTGAGCTACGCACTGTTTTTTCATTTAACGGCAAATAGTGTTGGGGCAATGGTTGATATTGTAACTGACTGGGACTAGCCCCAAACGCCGCCGCCGTGGCATAGGGCGCCGGCGGTGGCGCGCAATTTGGTGGCGATCGCAGCTGTTGCCCATGCAAATCACCCGGCGCTATTTGTGAAGATGAGGATTGTGTGGATGATTGACTAGAAGTTGAATGCGATGAAGAGGCAGCGCTGGTCAGTGGCAAGTGATGATGAGTGATTTGTTGTTGAGGATAACGTTGCTGTTGTGGCAGTTGGTAGTGGTGCTGATTACTCGTGCTGCTGCTGCTACTGGTGTAATGTGGTGTTGTGCCGGATGCTGAGGTAGCTGTGGCGGCAGCGGTTGTAAGATAATTGCCAGCAAGGAAGGGATTGGTAGATTGCTTTTGCTGCTCCTTACGCTTCTCCAGCTCCTTCTCACGCAATTGATTTTGTTGATGATAGAAACGTTGCAGAACTATAAAAGATAAGCGACCAATGAAAGTCTTCTTTTTCAATTTAGAAACCCTATTCACTAACCTATTGGACTGTGATTGCCCTGCACTCGCTGTTGCGTGTTCAACTCAGTGCGATTAACTGGTATTAACGAAGGTTGCTGCTCTTTTATTATCGGCTCTACGACCGTAGCCAGGGGCAACGTTGGCGTGGCAGCGCCGGTCTGAAACCGCTTACGCGCCATTGCCGGCGAACTTATACCCAAATTTTTTGGAGTGGCCGGGCTGTCAAACGCATCGAACGCATTACCACCCATCTCGTGGACATTCGGCATGCGCCACAATGGATCCACCTGATGCGGCTGTGGTGTATGGTGCTTCTTTTGGCTGAAGGGCGAAGTGGTGAGATTGCGCATAATCGTCTGACCTGCAGGACGTGAAGATAAAAATTAATAAATCATAAAAACTCATAAAAATTAATGTGCAAAACTGCACACGTTGGCGCACTCACCTATACTACTGAACATTGACTCCTTTTTGGGGCTCTCTGCACCACTGCCAACGCCTGCACCGCCGCCTGCGTACTTCAATCCTGCGCCATTGCTATATTTCCGCTGCAGAAATGGCGATTTACGATACAGTTTGCTCATCTCGCTGACAATATGCGTCGTGTCGTCTTTGAGCTGCGCATCCTTGTAGCTGCTGCTAGGTGGCGATTGGGGACTACTGCTGTTGGCGCTATTGTTACCCGAACCGCCGCTGCCATAACCGTTGCCACCGCCGCCGATGCCGCTGACGACACTTCCTCCTAGACCTACTCCTCCGCCACCTGCGCCGCCCCCGCCCCGTTCACCCTGTAAATGATTGTTGGCAATGCTGTTGTTGTAATAGCTTGCAATCGGCTGAGGTAGTTGCGATGGTTGGTGATGATGTGACGCTTGCGTTTGCACATGTGGATATTGTGGATGATATTGTGGCAGGTAATCGTCTTTTTTTGTGTAGCGTGACTGTGTAGCTGCAGATGTGCTGGCGCTGTGATAGGAATTCTGATAGCTTGGGATGTGTGTAGCATTAGTGGCTGCTGCAGGCATTTTCGGATTTATTGTCGCTGTCGATGTTGTTATTGTAGTTGGCATTATTGTTGCAGTTGCAATTTTATTATGTTTATTTGTTGCTGCTGTTACATCTCCTCTGAGTGTAGCTGTTGTAGTAGTTATTGGCATGTGAGTTCTGTAAAAATCGTGAAGCGAGATATTAATGGAAAATCGTCATAGAAGTATGACGACAAAAGTTTAATTCACTTCCACTAATAAATAAAAAAACATTTAAGATGACAAATTGTATGTGTGAGTGCTGATATATGCATCTATCTATATGTAGTTGTGTTGGTTGTGGAGAATATAGCGAAAATATACAAATTATTTGTAATGACTTGAAGTCATAAAACCGAGATTTTTGTAAAAAAAGGGGTATTTTTTATTTTTAAATGATATTATTGTGGTATTTCATGACTGGTAAACTAAAGATTGTGATTATATGACTATACATAACGAACCTTTTCAATGAACTAAACAAAAAAAATTTAAATAATCGTGCCTAATTAGATTGAGATCCTGCTTCTGCTCCTAATTTTTAAATCCTAGGATTATTCTTCTATCTTGGCCCTTCCATCGTGCTCGTTACCGGCCTTTGTGCAAGCCATGACTAACGCTGAATATTATTACATTTTACTATGTCCTTATTATTATGCATTTACTATAAGGAGTTCCGTTATTCTTCGGTATTCGATGCCTTTGATGTTGCAGAGAATATTTTACTCGAAATCACCAAATCACGCCCACCATTTATCATCATCGTCTATATTTCTGCGCTTTCTTTTTTTTTAAAGAGTTATTCTGCGCTTAATCACCAGGGCGACGTTACTGGTTGTACAATTTCTGTATCCTAGGTATACAAAAGTCCTGCGCTATTTCAAAGTTACAACCGCAAACTGTGACGCGTGTCCTAATAAGGAAGAAGAAACTCTTTACTGTCCCCATTTACAGTCACACAAACCCATTCTGCCTTCTTTAAGAACGCTGCGCTGACGGCCCTGCTATTGAGACTGACGATGTCAATGTCATCTTCATATGCCAGCACAATGTTGTTGTTGTAGCGGCGTTACTAAGCCCCGCCTATTGTTTCTACGGGGTCGGGGCAAAGGGAGGTGTGCCGAATGAGTGGGATTCTGCTGACATGTGAAGAGGTGGTTGGTATCATGAGAGGCGTCTCCACATGACGGGACACTCGTTAGGGATATCTGACACTGTCATCTCTTTGCTGTGCAGTGCCACTGCGAATCATATTATTCTTCTTATTTGGCGCTGTAACCGCCTAAAAGTCCAACTCCATAACAAGCTTTTCAGGCTTTCAGCAATAGCTGAATTGTGTAGCTGAAAACCTGAAAAGCGCCAAACGCCTAAAAAGCTTGTTGTGGAGTTGTACTCTCACGATTTTGGCCTAGTTTAAAAAACCAAGCTAGTTTTTTCTCTTCTGTGCCAACAGACCCCAATTTGAAATTTGAACGGAGCTAAATATTCAGCACCAAAAAACTATACACAGCCCAAGTAGTTTTGCGCTATCCTAAATTTTGATATAGCGTCGAATAGACATCGACGGAAAGGTTATTTGTCGATTTTCATATCAGGATTAGTCACTGTCAAAATTTTACCAATGATGGACTCGCCAAGCCTAAATGAAGAGCTTCAGTCTTTCAGACCTTGTAAGCAATATAAAGCTTTATCCCGCGATGATTGGCGCAAACAACAGGAAAACATTCCTTGCGAAAAGTATACTAAGCATCCAGTCTTGGCAGGTTTCCATCAGATCGAATCGTGGTTAACTTCTGCATGCACATTATGAACTCTTCGCCGCGAACTGTGAGCAGCTTTGCTGTTAACCCGTATTATTGGTGAGCTGGGCGACGTATTATTCAGTCCGTGTAACACTTGTTTGTTTAGTCAATCGTATGTTTGGATAGTATAGTGGTTAATACCCACGCCAGGCTAATACTGAATACCAAAAGAATTTCCCACACGTGTCTGGCAAATTGTGAGATATCTACTTGTTCTTCTACTACAACAAAGGTGCTAAAAGAGATTTCGTACAGCGTGCGAAAGCATTTGTGTTAAGATGATTAAAGTACGGAATGATATATCGTTGCGCAATTTATCAATTATCTTTCATATTATACAGAAAATACCAAAAAAGGAATACTACTAAATAAAATTATTTTTCTCGAAATAGAGTACATACGCCAAAACCAAAAACAAATAAAATTCAGCCCAAAACCTTCAAAAAATTAGGGCAGTAATGCAACAAAAAAAAACAATTAAGGCAAAATTTAATTCAGAAAGACAAGCTTATGCGTTTGAATGAACCATCAACTTATGTAAATAAAAAATGCTTTCAATGAAACAATGATATGAACACAACAATAAACAAATAAAATAAGAAAAATTAAAAAAGTATACTTACTGAATTGGGAGAGTATGATTTATTGTTTGTTTTATTATTTTTGAGAGGGTAATAGATTAGGAATTAGGTAACCTACAAAAAATTTTAATAAAAAGAAAGAAAAAACAAATTAAACGTTAAAACGCAAAAATTATGCTGGGAGCAACATTTCAACTGTTTTTATATTATTTTTATGTACGTTTTTTTTTTGTTTAATGTTAATATTTTAGTGTATAAGAAGTGGAGATGTTAGCAGCGTAAGTGGGATAGGAGAAAAATATGCGTTAAATGGGTAAGACAGTAGCGCATGAAACTGGATGCAAATTATTTTAAAAGACTGCCAAAACTGTAAGTCAAGAGTAGAAAGAGTTAATTTTGATTAAATTTCAGGCTCAAAGACTAGTAAAAACGTAAACGAATTCAAAAGCATGGGTAAGTGAAATTAAAAATATAAAAAATTGGGAAAATAAAACTTTTTAGACGAAAAATAAGAAAACTTTTACATGCGCCTGAACCGATGTTGAAAAAACACGAACGAAAACTTTGAAAAAATTTCCGAAACCTTAAAGGGCCTGGTTTGAGATTAAACGGAAATACAAAACCTGAAGCACATCAATGATATGCATATCTCTAATGGTTTCTTACAAAAAGAAAGCAAAAATTCGCAGCTTTAGAATAAGTATGAAAAATTTTGTTCCCTAAATACGGAAAAAAGGCATAGAAATTTTGATGAAGCTGCTGAAACTTGTATTAAAAGTGGACCCGAAGATCCAGTTAACGCTTTAAGATTTTAATGGAACTCCTTGGTTTTCAATATTTAACATAATTCGAATTTAACAATCTTCAAGCAAACGAAAGTCTTGTGTATTGCATGGACTTTTTTAATAAAATTTATTATGTAAGTATTTGCTTATTTAAATTATTTGAAACTTTAACAAAATCGTCTGGCCTTGTTTTCATACATATTTACGTACATCCAACACGCATACAAGCAACATTCAATCCTACCTCGAAGATCGACATAGATTAAGAAGAGTTGAATTTTGAAAAGCGTAATAAGTACAATGTATTGCTATGGGGCGTGAGACTAGCGCGCGACGGAACGATAGCGTGTGGAAAAGTAAAAAAGATTGGGAACTAAATTATCTATATGTATGTGGTTTTCCTACATACCTATGCATCTCTATGTCGGCAGACTCGACCACAGTTTTAAACCATTGTACAACATTCACGTCAGCCGCGTCGTAGCATCGAAAAAATGGCTGCTGTAAAAGTTCCTGATATCTGGGCCGATGATGTACATTTTTCGTTAAACTGCAAAATATAAGTAAGGCACTATATCAGTTTCAACATACCAACATAACCGCTAATTTCAACTTACCACTTATCGACAAAGTTACGAAAATCTTGGCTGAAGTCGCAACCATCACCGTATGGCAAACTAGGTGGTTCATGATCTAGAATTTTAGTCAGCACCTCAAAGTCTATGTTGCAGCCCTCGTAGGGTGATCGGCCGGTAGCGAGTTCCACGAGTGTTATACCCAACGACCAAACATCGGCGCGTATATCATATTTTGGCTTTTTGGGATCGATGCGTTCGGGCTGAAAGAGATCGTCATTTATTATATTAAGAGAGTATAGTTTGATGCCAGCACTTACCGCCATGTAAGCGGCGCACCCGGCTGAGCGCGTGTTTGCTTTCGAGTCCACGAGTCGCCCGCTAATACCAAAATCACATAACTTTATATTGCCTTGCTCGTCGATGAGTATGTTTGAGGGTTTCACATCGCGATGGATAACGTTATGTTTCATCTTTAGATATGAAAGTGCATAAACCGTCTGAAGAAAGAACATTGCAATTTGTAAATTTAAAGAAATATTGACCAATGGAAGTAATATCCAAGATTTTTTTAAGTTCCTCGATAGTATAGTGGTCAGTATTCCCTACCTAACTTTTTTAACTCATTTCACTAAATTGTTATTATTTCCTCGATAGTATAGTGGTTAGTATCTTTTGTTGAGTCTTCTCAGCCAATACTGCACTTTTTAACACATAATTTCTTTTTAACTTTTTCTAGTTACTTACCGCAACCGTCACCTTTCCTAGTATGCTCTCTGGCACCGGTTGTTTCGAACGCTTTAGAAGCTTATCGAAACACATCGACATTAGTTCCATGCAAATCCAGACATCTGGTATATTTACAAAATAACCTAAACAATGCACTATATAGGGACAGTCATGTGAGTTTAGTATAACGTCTAGATCCATTAGTATGCGATTATTCTCCTCATCATTGCCAGTGCTACGCATCTGTTTTACAGCCAAAATAGTGCCTGTCGGCTTGTGACGCATCTTTACTACATTCCCACTGGTGCCATTACCCAAATCGCTCAAATGTTCCAAATCAGACATTTTACTTGGATATTTTTGGCCATTTATGGTTAAGATGCCCGATTGTTGTCGTATTCGTTTAAGTTTTTTGTGCATTTCTGTTTGAGGTCCATTGCGATTTGTGTTGGGCATGACCACTGTAAAGGGAAAGAAAATTTAAGTGAGTATGTTGACTGTACTTAAAAATGAGCTAGTAAACTACACAGGATTTACTCATCAAAAATGTTTGGCTTTATATCAACGTATTGCAAGAGGCATGGGTATCTGGTGCAATGCCAGGTGAGTAAGAATTGGGTTAGCAGGTTTCCAATTCATCTACGAAAATAGAAGGAGGTTGACTTTTTAATACACAATTTTCTCAGTGATTGATGGTTGCGGATCTTACCGCTTCGGAGTTCTATGTCTCGGGTGCTTGCTCAATGGGAGTGGGGGCTATTTTTGCTTTGCATAAAAATACTGCATTATTCCACTCTCGTTCTGCTTGTCATCTAGACATACATACATAGAGTAGGAATAATTGTCTCATCAGAAAGAGGTTAAAGGAAATTTTTGAATGAAAAAATAGCAATCAATAAATCAGAAATAAACTTTCCTCTTTCTCCCCACCACAACGACAATACAATAAATTGTTCTATCCGCTAGTCGCATTGCAGCTGGTAAGGAATGAATTTCCGCTTTGATTGAGCATTGTTGCCCAAAAAAATAGATTGCCTGCAATGCCCGACCACCACCCACTCAACCACCCACAACCGAGGCAACACAAGGGGCAACATTACAAGAATAATAAACACAACAATGATGACAATTCACAATAAACCCCAGAGCAATACAACACCCCAAGAACAGCATGCTTTACAATTTTCACATTTCTATCAGCCAACACCAGCGTTGCCTTTCTGTCAACAATACAGGTATAGTATTATTAGCAACACTGTGTTTTTATTTTGCAGTAGCAAGCCGATTTTATACAATGATGTGTTTGTTTTACACTTGTGTGACAATTTTTGCTGTTATTGTAAGTTGTTATAGTAATTTTTGGTTTTGCTCTACCGATACTACCTTGTATGAATTCGCAGTAGTTGCAGTAGTTTGCCGAAATTATTTTACTTTGACTTACCGATTGGTTCTAAAAACTTCGTAAGCCTAGCAAACCTCTACAGTCGGATTGAACTATAAAATATAATAATCACGTCGCAAAGGAGCAAACCAGCCATGGAGAAGTGGTTTAAAAATAAAAGATGTCAGGTAAGAAATGGTCTTTGCTAGTTTGCGCAATGGTTTGAAGTGAGGCTTTGCAGAAAGGAACTTACAAAGCTTCCAAGTAACATACAGGTAGTTTATTTTGTTGATGGGCGATTTTTGCGTGCAATTTGAATTTTTTTTTGGGGTAATTTAGATTTCTTTCGGGGTAATTAAATGAATTGAAAACGGCAACGCTACCAACAAACAAATGATACAAAGCGTACATGCAACAACAGCAAATTGTAAAACAGTTGCGTCAACCAAGAAGATAAACATTTATTTTGCTACAAAGCAAAGAAAAACAAAAATAATTCACCATAGCAAACGAAAACTATGCCGCTGTGCGAAAAAAAATTACTGCAACAATGGCCATTAAAAACTAAAACCTTAACTAACAAAAGCGCGACGCCGGCTACACAAACTCACACCACCAGCTATAGTATATCCTCAAAACCAACAAAGCAATGGCAGCGCCGGCGGTGTCGGCGTTGAAGCAAACAGCGCTGCCAAAAAAAAGACACACAAACATAGATTCTGATAAAATAAAGAAGAAAGAGCACAGCCGAGCCACGAAAATATCGCACGCCGTTTTCAAAAGAGTCACAACTAAAAATAATACGTTTGTCAGGAAATGCGAAAAGATATTTCTTAGCACATGATAATCATATGGGCAAAGGCGATTTTACCTTAGGTTTTTTTTAACAAATTATAACAAAAATTTGTTCCAGCTTTAGTTGAAAAGTAAATAAAAGCTGTGTGCATTTTTAGTGCATAATCTCAAAAATTCCAAATTTTGAGTTGTGACTTTTTTAAAGACGGTGTGCGATATGACTTTGCTGATCGTTCGGAAATACCAAAAAACCCAACGATAAGCAACAATAATGCAGTGCAGAAGTATAGCGATGGCAGTAAAACCGTCACGAAAAAACAAAAAACTAAATAAAACAAGAGCAAAAACCAAATGTAACAAAACGAATCGCCCAGCAAACATACCAACTGGCCATTCAACGAAAACACCGTAAAAACGTAGTGCAAAGAAATAAAACACCAAAAGTGAAATGAAAGGCGACAGCAATGAAAGAAGACGAGACCAAATAGCGCAAAATGTAGATTTGTATGTGTTGTTTGTGTGCATCTAATCGCATACATATTACTATATATCCAATCCGACAACGTAGATGTCAATGACGAAAACAAAAACAACAAAAATAAATCCAAGCAAGCGCCACAATAGCGCATAACGCAGACGACAAAGGCATGCGGCGTCTGACTGAAGGCGACCGCGAGTAGAATCGTCCGACAGCTACCAAGGTAACAGCCAGGATTAGCTTAAATATGCGCTGCTACTGTCGTCAACGTCTCTGCGACTGAGAAATTGACAATAGCCTGCGCAGGTGCTCGCATATGGTGTGAGAAAGAACCACTCACGTTGGTACGCTATATAGTTTTGCTGTTTTTTTTTCTGTAGTTCTGTACATTGTTTTTATTGTATGTGCAAAGAGCTCACGGCCTGCAAAAGGAGGGTGAAAGAAGGTAGTACGTTTGCGAAATCCGCTAACGACCGCAAAAGCAACTCTCGAGTTCCTTTGTCGTCCATTTGTGGGGGTGGTGGCAGCACATCAACGCAAACGGCACTAAGGGTGGTTGGTTAACAGCCTGCACTGCTGCAACATTTTGACGCACTCATCTTCGCACCATTCTGCCATCACTGCTGGCGCCTAATGTCAGCAACCTCTTTTTGTGCACGAGTCGCGGCGAAACAAGCAAATAATCGCAGAACGTGCGAAGTTGTGCCTTTTGTGTATTACCCATCTAGTGTGCACTTACAGATCAACACTTTGTGTGCTTTTTTTTATATTCATGCATTTTCTATGATACTTACAACCCAGATTGGGGCGTTTTGTCCTGCCAATGGGGAGCGCCATATGATGTGCTTCTCTGTCGCCAACTCGTGGTACGGAGCCACTTGGAGCATCGGTGACAAACATCAAGTGATTATGTGAGTTATTCTCTTCCTCTAGACGCTTCTCCAGCCTGTGCAATTTATGCCCAATCGATTCCATTGATGAAGTGCTTGTCGTTCTGTTTGGCCCTGCGGATGGTTCTAAAGAAGTTGATAGTGTTATCCTTGCTCCAGTGCTTATAGCGACAGTGGCGGCTGTAGTCACTCTTCCTGGCTGAAGTTGCTGCTCACGGCTGCTACTGCTACTACTGCTATGTTTATACTCCGGTGCGTCGTGCATGCGTCGCGCGTGTATTTTGTCGTGTCTGCGCTATATATCCGCTGCCTCTGCCACTCCTCCGCGTATGTGTGACACTGCGTGAACACTTTTGTATGTGTGCGTATGAATTTTGTGCACTCGAAAATTTTCACTGCGAAAATTTCTGTCGCCAATTCCTTTTGCACCGCACTTGGTTCGCTGCGAACAATCAATTGCACATTTGAGCACAATTCTCTTTCTGTGCTGCAATACACTTGTTTTCTTTTTAATTGAATTATCACACAAATAACAAATAAAAAAGAAATGAACTCGTCTCTTTCACTACTTTACAGAACACAGCAGAAAAAATACTGAAGAAGTTGCAAGAAAACTCAACAACGAATAGGAAATTCAAAACGGAACTACAAATATCAACAACGAATGTCAAGTGAAGGCAAGTTCGTGAAATGTCATCGGGCTGGAATTCATTGGAATGCACTACCGGAAGTCATTGGAATAGATTACCAGAAGTACAGGGTGGGTTGAAAATCAAAACGGATTACACAGGGTTGCATGCCAAACAATTTGTGGGAAGTGTGCTGTGGCTCATGTGGAATGTGAGGTAGAAACACATGAAAAGTTCTTAAATCGAAATATCATTAAAAGCAATAAAATAACCACAAAATTCGACAAAAATAATTCTTTGTCTCTCTAAACCCTGAAAATTTACTCATTCCTCAATTGTAGGGTTACCAACTTTTCTTAACGAAAATCCAGGACGCAAGTTTTCTTCAGAAAAGTTGAACTTGACGGATATGATATGGCGCATATTTTCGAGAGATAATCGATTTCTCTCTTTCGTCCATTGCGAAGACATAACGTCGCCTGGGTAAAATATTGTCGTAAGCGCAATTTTGACGATTTTTAGTTTTAGATGCAGTTATATATTTTGAAATAAGGCCTTTCGATTGGTGTTATCAGTTTTTAGACATCTCCTTTAGTTTCCGAGATATTGACTACAATTTTTTCGATAATTTAGTAAAAATTTAGTTAGTGATGCAGTCACATTAAGCTAATCAATATCTTACAATTTGCGTCCTCCATTTTCGGATATCTCCTTTAGTTTCCGAGATATTGAGTTAAAAGTGTCGTTAATTTAGTGGAAATTTTGATCACATTTTGTCGTATTTCATACAAAGTGGCGTTTCAAATTTACAACTTGATCATGCAGTTTTAGGTCATTGATATCAACTTTTTTTTTGTAACAAATACGAAACACTTTCTTCTATATCTTTGTACTGCAAATTTTGATTTTTTTTTCAATCTAACCATTTAAAAATTTTAAATTCCGAAAAACTCTCAACCTAGCGTTCTATGTATTCCAAAATTTCGTGATATACTATTCCAACTCTTGCAATGAAATCATAACAGATTTGTTCTTTTCCTTCTTTCTTCAATCTTGACAAAATAGACTGAGCCGCGAGTGGAATACAATTTTACTCAATTCGCTCCTGAATTTGTGTTCATTTCTAGAACACTGTTATTTTTTTCACCTGCAATATCATTTTAGGATGAAAACATAAACTCGCACATTATTAATGAAAATGGGAATATTTAGGTCATAAACCAGGACGCTTCCCAAAAGTGCCAAAATCCAGGACATGTCCCCGAAACCCAGGAGGGTTGGTAACCCTACTCAATTGTGATTTACGTTCTCTGCGTAGAAGAAGCAGTTTTTTGTAAGGGTGGGCAACTCTGTAAATTTTGGTGTGCTGACTCAGTAACTCCAACTCTCTTTAATGAGTCAGCACAGAAAGCTGGCACAAGTGTGCTATCGCACAATTGGTATGTGCATAGAAATTCTGACGATGTCAGTAATCGAAATCGATTTAGAAAAGGTTATCCTTAGCTTCTATTCGTAGCTGGCCGGCAAAATTTTAGAAAGCTGATTTCAACTGGTGAGTTCATTTGCGAATAAATTCCCTACTTAGTTTTGCTTGAGAGTTGTCACATAAGAATCTGTTAAACGGGCTATTCATGTAAGCGGTTACCCAACGCATAGCACTTCACATGTAGAATTCTGTTTGGTTTTGACTTTTACGTAAAAAGGGTATAGCAGTGCAAGTATGCATAACTGGGCTATTCGCCTTGCTTCTTGTTAAATTTGGTAGTCGTATATTCAACTGATGGTAAGTCTCGTGACGCCATCTATTATGGTACTTTTTGGAAGATCGTATTGTGTGAATGTGTCAGCTCATCAATTGAGTTACCACATCGACACAGTTCTAAACAATGCAGCCGAACCGAGCTATGCAAGTATCAGCACATCAACTGAGTTACCATATCGACACTGAAGCACACTGAGCTATACATTGTCAGCACATAAACTGAGTTACTGAGTTACAAATTTTTTCAGAGGCGAGTCTGAGCGTGCGGCACATTTCTAAGAGTCAGCACAGTAACTCAGCACAGTGCTGAGTTTCCCACCTCTAGTTTTTTGTTATTTATTTACATTTTACAAACATTTGTTTACACCATGTCGGACGCGTATGATTTTGTGGCTAAAGGTAAATTAAAACTTAAAAATGACCACGAAACCAAGAAAAAGAAGAAAAGTAAACACAAACATAGAGATAAGGACAAGGAGCGTGAGAAGCAATCAATACAAGGTAGCATAAATGAGTCTTTGGAGGAAAAGATTACCAACAGCTCCGCACCAAAGTTGACCAAGGCAGAACTAGCGTTCAAGCAGCAGCAGGAAAAAATGGTGAGCTGTTAGAAAGAAATGTTAGACATATCCCAACACTTGAAATTTTGCAGCGCAACAAACGCATAATGGAAAGGGCGTCCACCACACATAAGGAGCGCGTGGAAAAATTCAATGAACATTTGGATACACTAACGGAGCACTTTGATATTCCAAAAGTTTCCTGGACGAAGTAGTGCCACATTTGTGCCCCTCGTGTGCCCAATTTAGTAAAGAACAACAAATTTTCAAATCACATGTATTTTTATTTGAGAGTTAAAATAAAATCCGGCACATTGCATATTTTGCTATTTAAAACATCTTAAATTTGCTATTTTACAACTACTTATAAGTCATTAATTTCCTATAATTAAACAAGTAGGCTTTAGCGCATATCCCGCAGCCGTAAGCATATCGGTATGTGCTTTGGAATTTCATATCACGTTGCGTAACAAGATACTTATCATTAACAATAATTACATTCCAGCGCCGCCACTTCAGCTTTTACCAAACAAAATTGATTTGACGGTTTCGACAAGCGGAAATTTGGTTTTATAGGCGCGTGGACAATAGCCCTTTATATCATCCGTGTTCAATGAAAATATCATAGCGCCACCAAGTTGGTGATTTTTTACATAGAGCGCTTTACATGCAATGCTTGTTTCGTTTTCGTAAGAAATCCATTCGCTGCCACTGCTTAGGTAAGGTGAGCAGGTAGACTGGTCGTATGCTTGATGAACTAATATGTTATGTGTGTTGAACCAGCACAGCTCCGAGTAGGAAGTAAACCCCAAACTGCCACAGTGCCCTATACCTTCGGCGGGCGCGTTAATGCCATGATTAAGAGAGCTTACCAAACTAATATGTATACAAATTTTTTATTTAGGTTTAATACTTAGAGAAAAATTTTTAGCTTACGTGAAAGAATGTCCATAAGTTGGCAGACCCACTACTAATTTCTTGCGGTCCAAGCCGTTGTTCAGCCACCAGTTAACTGAATAATTGATATTTAATGTGCCAAGTAATGAGCCCTCATTCGGACGCGCATACAAAGGTGCATTCAAACCTTAACATATACAATGTTATGTATAATTCAGAAGATTATTAAGTATGTGCTTACTCACCTGTAAATGGTGTACCGTGCGAGTAAAAATGATAATCATATGTCATCAAACTCACATAGTCTACGTACTGGTTTAGCATTTGCACATCATAGGCGAATACAGCGATACCTTCGGGCGCTGCTGCGGCCACGGTCAGCAAGTAGTCGCGTCGTTCGCGCCTGTATTCTTGGCGTATTTCATATATCAATTGTGAAAAATGCTGACGCTCCTTATAGTATGCGCTGGGGAATTCCCAATCCAAATCAATACCATCCAGCTTATACATAGCCAAGGTTTGCTTCACGGAGTGTACAAATACTTTGCGTGTCGTATGATTCTTAACCATAGCTGGAAAGCCATCGCTGTTGGCGCCACCACCCACCCATAGCAATAGCTTTAAGGCGGGATTAATTGTGCGCAGCACCGTCACATCCTGCGACAGTATACGACGCATATTGTCAGTGATAATCAATTGGCCATTACGTACACCAACCATGCCCACATTGATGTGTGTACAAAGTTCGGCATTTACATTAGCTAAACGCAAGTCATCGAGTTCATTGTCTGGATCGGGAACTGAATAATAACACACTAAACGGACTTCTGGCGCAGTGCTCATGGTGGGTGGCGCATTCTTGACCAACTGTGGTGCGCTGGGTTTAACCTTCTGTGCCTGCTGCTGTTGCTGCAGAGTACCCAAGCCATTTAATCCACTATCTGCAGAGTAGGAAGGGTGTAATTTTACACGCGCTGTCTGATTTTTCATCAAACGAAAATCGTGTGAAAGCGTACTTTCATGAACGCTATTGGCATAGAGGCTGGCACGTCGAAACCAGAAATCGGGCACGGCTGCAGGTGTGAATTGGGTGAGTTATGCGAACGTGAATTTACATAAATTACATACCTTGCACGTCTGGTGGATAATAGATGGTATCATAGGCAGAATTCCATAACAGGAAGACAAATATGGTGGTAAGCATATAAAGTGCCATTAGTGCTGCAATGCGCCACCAGGATTGCGATTGCGAGGGCTCGTTCATCAATTCGTAGTCCGCCATTGTTTAGCGAGTGTTGTGTTCAATTTAACACTTGATATAAATGATTCAATTACTATTGTTTGTAAATTTTATTATTGACTTAACATTATCAGCTGGTTAAATGGCATACGAAGAAATTACGAAGTAAACAAAAGGGTTTTAAAACAGTGCTGCCGTTTAATACAAATGTTCCAAATAGATACGATTTTGCCCATGAACCAAAATTACAAGAAACGTAAGAACGCGACGTTGTATTTGTAACTGGTTTTGAGAAAAAAATTCGTGTAGGCGAGTTCGTCTGCTGAGCATTTGTTTACATCACAAGCACCACTATTTTTACACTTTTCTTTAACTAAAGAAGATTTAATTCAAATTGACAACACATTTTACAGCATTTTTATTAATAATTTTACCTACATTGTGTATTTAAAGTGGCTGACAACAATTTTGGTTAATTATGGTTTTCGTGGTTTTCTTTGCTTTCTTTACTTTTTGCTTGTTTTCCAAAATCGACGTGATCTTGTGTCGTTCGTTGATGGATTTTGCCAAAGAACGTAAATAGACAGAGAGGTGATAGATTACGTTCTATGGTTTTGCGTAAATTTTGAAGGATACTTCTTGTTTAACTCAGCTTGAATCGGATTCAATTTTATATATATTCTTTTATCACGTTTTATTATAATGGCTCATGCACATATTTTTTTTTTTAATTTGTTGTGAAAACTTTAATAAAATCATTTAATAAATTCTCGAATGAAAAGGAACGTAAATCTAAAACGTTAACGCAAAGAACGAAAATAGGTTCAATGATTTTCATTGTTTCGGCAACCCAGTCTGAATCCATTACTCGCCACTTTCGAGCCAACGAGTGCTCAGGCGGTAAACAAATTCGATTAGGGTTACCAACTTCGCGTCTAGTAATTGTAAACAATATTAAATTGAGCTTTAAACCAAACTTGTGCTTGGTAGACCGCGAGATATTCATAAATTAAAAAATAACAATGATTTTCAGCATACGGGATAGAGTCGTGAGTTAATTTATCAACTAAAACCAACACATTCGATTGATTCGTTGGCACTGGCAGCCCTATTGGAAATTTCCCCGCATTCGCGTTCGTTGGCTGTTGCGAGAGGTTTGTTTTTGTGTATACGGAGCGCGTCGATTATTTTAATTGACATTTTTTATACAGTTTGTGAAATGCGGCAAGTTTAATGTAATTTCCAGTGGTAAATTAAGTGCAGCATAAATACACATTTTTAAAATAGTGCGATTTATGTATTATTTCCATAAAAACTGCTAAATTGAAAGAACCAGAACGGTGTGTGTGTGTATGTGCCATCAAATGCATTTCAAGCTTGATTTGAAATATTTGTAAGGTTCAGACGTGTCTGGCCCCCTTTTTGGCTGCGTACATATACTGTTTAACAATTGATACACAATCTCCGCACAATATCCAACCAGAGCGACGCAGGCTGCAACTGCACAGTTTTTATATTTATGTATATATAGATATAGATGTGTATAAAAAAGCATCGAATCTTACAAGCACCTACTCAGCAACACATCAAGTACGTTTCAAGAGGCTTTGCGTCGCCGCCCAACCACTTCGCTTTGTATCACTCTATTGCATATACAAAACAAGTAGTGCTAGCTTGCGTGCTACCCTCGCCTGCTCCACCACCCACTACCCTTCACTGTACCTGTGTTTTCGCGTGTGTACATCTGCCCCGCCCTGTTCAACAATTCGATCCTTTTCTCTACCCCAATCCCCAATCCTTGTATACCATTTTTACTTTTCATTTAATTTTGTCTGCCCCTCTACATTTCCGCCTCAGTGCCCCATTCACTTCCGCAAACTTAACGCTACAGTGGCTGTTGCCATCCGATGTTGTCATTTTTCGCTATATACTTTTCTTATCACATCCAATTTGCATTCGCATATAAACTCAGTGTACGAGAAAATCCAATTTCCATAGCTGTTTTTCTGTTTCCTGCTTCCATCATCATCATCATCCTTTATGTCTACCATGTCTAAACAACAAACAATACAGTGAACCGGCGGGCAGGCAGCCAGGCAAAAATCAATAATGACGCTGCTGCTGTTTGTTGTCATTTGCCGAGCTACTCCAGCGAAGCCAGGCTACTTGGCAGCTGTGGTTGTTGCTGTTGCTGAGGCGACATTTTTTTTTTGTATTTTGATGGTTGATTTCCTTCCTTGTATCGGTGGTGGTGGTGGTTGTTTGTTGGTTGGTCGGCCGGTTTGGACAATTCGTTTATTTGGCGCGCTTGAACACAGGAGTGCAATCGCAACGAACGTAGCACTTGGTTGTCTGTGTAACTTAATTAATTCAATGTACTATAGGCAAGCTTCACTTTCTGATGGCTCCTAAATACCAGCTATGTATAATTTCTATCTGAATGTCACTAAACCAGCCTCCAGCTCCTACATAATTGCTAACAAAAATTAATGCAATTATCCATGCATACATATGTACATATGTATGTATGTAGCTATGTACTTAAGTATACGTAGTCATCGACGCCCCAAAATTAATGTACCGAACTTTCAAGTCGGCACTGTAATTATCACTCGCTCGCCCGCCCATTTCCTCATAACCCACCATAACTGACTGAATTTCACTGTCTGCATTAATACATATACATATGTACATATGCTGTTAAATTTTTATTTGCTGGTGCACTTTTCCATTTCCACCCCAAAATTGGGAAAAAACAAATGCTATGCTGGCTAGGCCACCAACAATAAATTGCAGAGAGTAAATACACACATAGATACACGACTTTGTATATATATAATTCATATTTACAAACATACATGTGTATGTACATATATGTATGCTTCAATGAATTAAACGAAACGTAGCCTTGCAACTTCACCGACACGCACCTTCATGCATGTACATATGTAGCATAACATTCCTGCCACATAACAGTGGGGCAGAGTGTGCGCAATGACACTTGCACTTGTCGAGAGTTGATGTTGTTGTTTCGCGCAGGTGGTGGCTACAGTGGTGAGTGCAGTGTGACAACGAGTTTGTCTTCTGTACATTCGCTGTTGCGTGTGGCTCCAAGTTGCTATCGACCGACTGGAGTTGGACGTTGTTGCAGTTTCCAACTGGTCGACATTCATAGCGCGCTCGCGAAACTAAGTGCATTTACCTAAACGCAGTGGTAGAGAGCATTTTAAATGTTGCAAGAAATAACAGCAAAAAGTGTGAAAAGTGTAGATAAGGAGAAAATGCAATGACAGCAACACGAACAGTAGTTAATAATAGTTAAAGGCGGTCATTGCCATATTTAGCCGACAGGTTGTTTGCCATTTTATTGCGTTTGGCAAAGGAGAAGGTTGATATTGTGTAGGGATTGGCAAGCCAATTTTGCAATAAGAAAAAATTCTACTAAATCATATTGATAAGATTACCAATAAAAGAGAAAAATTAAATGGACAAAAAATTAAACCAAATTTGTGAAACAATTTTTTAGTTAATAAAAAATAATTTTTAAAATTCATAAAAAAAAACAATAATAATACAGACGTACTCGACTGCGGCAAGGAAATCGGGATTTCCAAAATAGCCCAGCCCCTTGCTGAATAAAAAAAAATTATAAATAAATTATAAAATTATTTTGTTTGCAACTTATGTTAATTTATTTGTTTTTAATAATAATTTTTACTTAAAACATAACTCAATCGTTTAACAGAAACCACTTATATAAAAGTTTCAAAGATTACACAAATTTCAAAAATTTAATCAAACTTCAAAAAATGTTCATCAAAATTTTTAATTAGAATATTTAGTTTATTTTCGGTTGTGCAGTTTTCTAGCCCATTCAATTTTAGTCTAATAAATTGCAAGTTTCAAGTCGGTAGAAATTACCGTTGATTTTTTAGAATTTTTTTATGGACGGTGTTGCAAATTTTCTTCCATATAACGCATAATCAAAAACTAAGTATTTTTATATGAAAAAACTCCGCCAAATCCTCCACGAAAAAAAAACATAAAATAAAAATAGTTCTAAAATGTAATGTTAAGCGACTTCAAACTTGCACTTTATTAGATCAAAACTGCACACCCAAAAATTTTCTAAATAGTCTAATTAAAAATTTTGAAATCTTAAAGAACATTTTTTAAGTTTGATAATTTTTTTTTTGTAGATTGTATTATATATTAAATTAAAAATTAATATAAATAAATAAATAAACATAAGTTGCAAACAAAATCATTTTGAATTTCGAAGCTAATTATATAAAAAAAATACATGACCCCTGGCGGAAATATATGTAAATAGTTTATTTAAAATATATACATTTTTTTTTTGCTATCTTCTATCTAAAAACACCATGTAAATCAAAATTTGATTTGATTTTTGGCAATTTTTCGTTCCGGCTCCTTCTATACAATGTAGTATGGATGTATGAAATTTTTTTGTATGGAAAAAAAGCCAAAAATCAACAGCAAGTCATAGCTACTTCGAACTTTCACTTTAATTTAATGGGCTACAAAATGACATTCTCAGGTTGTTTATAAAAATATTAAAAATCAAAATTTTGATGAAGTTTTGTCGAATTTTCCAAATTTTTGTACACAGTTTAAAATTTAATTTACTTTGTTTTTGCTAGATAACGAGCTACCCTTTCGAAAATGATTATATAAAAATGTGTAAAAACCAAAAAATGAATACAAATATAAAAATATAAAAAAGGAAATATATAAAAAATAAAGGTATACAAAACAAAAATAAAAGAAATATATATAAAAAAAATAAAAATAAACCTTAAATTAAAATTTAAATAAAGTAGCTAGAATTAAAAAATAAGAAAAAAAACAATAAAAAATAAAAAAAATAGGAAAGAATAAAATACATAAATAAAATTAAATAATATAAAATAAAAAGTATAAATAAAAAAAATTTAAAAATGAATATGTATATAATAAGGAAAATAGGTGGTAAAAAATAGATTATTTATTATCTATATAAAAAATATAGAGGAAATATAATATAGAAAAAATGGTTAAACACATATATATATATAGGTAAATAAAATAACAAATCTTCCCATTAACAGTAGAGACAAAAAAATAAAATAAAACAAAATAACATAAAAACCTACATACATATGTATGTATATAGATTTTTGTAGTCCAAAAAAAATTTTGTAATTAAAAAATTAAATATCTACATTATTAGAAAAATCACCCTTTAACTAAAAAATTATGTATGTATTTCCAGTTGTGATTTTACAAATTCCAAGCCCAAACAAAAATAAATAAAATAAAATAAAAAATTTCTAGTGAGCGCACCGCTCGGCTTGTTTAAGTGGGAAACAAGCATAACAATATATATTATAAAAAGTGTAGCGAACTAAAAATTGGGCACAATTAACGTGTCATAGCGGGTCGCTGAAGGAAGCCCACAAGCAACGAAAGCGCCATGAAAAACAGGTGCTAATGCAAATAAGAACAAATCCAATTAGAAAAATATTTATGCGTTAAAGAGACAAGCCTCGAGCGCGAACCTATTTGGCCCACCCACTGGGCGCCATACAAAGGCACGCGCGGGTCAACACCGACACAGCGCGCTTAGCTTAACAAGCGTACGCGACATTAGTGGCCCAAACGATTTAAAAAAAAAAATAAGCAGAAAACAGAAAATAAAATTGCGCACAACGCAGCCCCGCTGCCGACTCACAGCCGTTTTTAGCAGCGCGCACGAAGTGCACCACGACGGGCGAGTGAACCATTTGCAACGCCAACAGCACCACCGGTTTGTCAGTATCTCTCCAGCGTTCAGTGCGCGTTCGGGCCAAGCGTGAAACGCATCGCTGCGTCAACTGTGAGCTAGTGAATCAGTGAGCGCGCATATTTGTTTAATAAAAATTTCATTGAAATTTACATAAAATACTGCTAAAAAGGCATTCAATTAAACAAACAAAAAAAATTAAATTGCGCAGAATTCAGCATTAATAAAATTACCAGCGAAAACCGCCAAGAGTACAAAACGAAATTTCCTCTGCGCGCACCTGCCGCCGAGCAATCATCAGTGCGACCTCCTTTTCTCAAACATACTAAACGAGCGCGCGCCTCCCCTCCGCTTGTAGTTATGGCCGCCACACCGTTGACCCTGATGGATGGCAGCATCGCATCAACCACGGTTACAGCAGATGCCACTTTGGCAACAGCAGTAGCTTTGGATAGTAGCAGCAGCAACCAAATTGGTGTTGCAACTCAACCTGCCGTGAGACCAACAATGCTATTTGGTTCTACTGAGCGTTTAGACACATCCGCTGCCGTCACGAATGTGCTCATCTCACCAAATGGCAGTTGCAGCGGCAGCGGTAATTCCGCCGCCACATCGCCATCATTTCTGCCGGAGATGCCACAATGGAAAAAAGACTTAATACAACGCCGCAAATCGAATGTGGCACGTACGATTGGTGCTGCAACAGGAGCAGCAGTGATGTCGCCGATATCCGCGGCAGCACAACAACAGCGTGGTGGTGGTCAACAGCATTCTCCAACAACGACAACCACAACAACAACAACAGCTGCAGGTGAGTTCGCTTATGATTTGGTTGTAATGTATGAAAAAATCGACAAAAAAATATTAAAAACGAAACGAAGTATGCAACTTGGTCAGCCGCAATTGTTGCTGATATTACAAATTCAATTAGCGCGTTTTTGTTTGTTTGTTGCGCATATTTTCGTGTCCATAACTTCGTTGATTGGCTGTTGGCGTCTTTATTATTGGTACACATTTTTGGGTTTTTTTTTTTTGTTCTTAATCAGGTTTTGCTGCCAAGCCGCAAACATTTTTTCGCGGTTATTTGTTGAATTTTCGTTACCGATTTGCTGGCGTACTAAATGATGGATCAAAATTCTTCACTCTTTTCTCGCCTGCTCGATATGATGTTGTATTCAATAAATACTTACATGGGTGCTCTGTCATCCCACAATCGCCATCTTCGTTCAAGAACTATTCAAATTTTTTTTTCATACAAAGTTCCTTCCGCGGAAGTTAATCTCATTTTGTACTACACGAATTAATCAATTCAACCTTCGCCTGCTTGAAGGGCTACCGAACAATAGATAAAAAAAGTTGCCACCTTGTAGATCCCTCCAGTTATACAACCGCTATTAGACTTTTGACAGATTTGTAAATCTGTAATCAGCATGAGAAACCAGTATTTAAAATAAAACAAAATAAATATATTAAAAGAATAAAAAAAAAAAACAAAAAATAAAAACTAAAAATTTAAAAAGTAAAAAATAAAGAAATAAAATAAAACAAGAAAAAATACAAGGAAATGAAAAACATAGAACAAAGACATGAATTAAAAACAAATAAAAAAATGAGATAAATGCAAACAAATAAATGTTAACCAAAAATTAAATTAATAAAACAAACCATTTAAAAAATAAGGATTTCAAAAAATAATAAGAAATTAGATAACAAAAATATGCAGAAGATAAAAATAAGAAAAAACCCTATAAACATTTTGGCGAACGTTCGAAAATCCAATATGAATATCGAACTGAGAACGAACTCATACCCAACCTTAGTTTTCCAACGTTTATAGTGTATTGGAAATACATTCGAGATGGGTTCGAAAAAAAATTAATACCATAGTAACAAGAGAGGAAGTGAAATCCAGCTCATTTTCGAATAGAAATATAATACAATCGCTCTCTCTCATCAAAATTTCAATTCGATAATGGGCTAGATTTCGAATTCATATCGAAGGAAAAATTCATTAGATAACGAAGGTTCCGTTTTGCTGGAGAATGGCCTAGTTCTCGAATCGAATGCTAACCTATTCCACATTCGTTATCGAAGGAGAGACTTGAAAAAAATATTAGTTTTCCAATCATTTTCGAATTGTTAACCAAGCCCAATGTTTATTGGGAATAAATTTTAAATATAAAAATACAAACAAAATTAAATAAATAAATTAAAAATAAGAAGAGAAGAAAAAATTTATAAAATAAAACAAAGCACAAAAAAAAATAATTTAAAAAAAGCAAAATTACAAAATTCAAAAGTAGATATAAATAAATTGGAAAAAAGTAAAAGTAAGAAAAACACATACAAAGAAAAGATTTTAGGAATAAAAAAAGTGTTACGAAAAAATTTATAAGTATTACCATTAGGGCAAGTCAATTATTTTGACTGTGCGCGTATAGCATAGGAGGATTCTACGTGTCATTCTAAGCTAAATAATTTGCTGAAGAAACCATGGTTCTAAAATCAATTTGGAGTTTGCCAAATTTCGAAAATAGGTTGCTAAAAAAAATGTGAAAATTTTCACTGTTGCGCGCCCTCTGGTGGAGGTTTTAAGAAAAAGATAATTGCAGAAATGGATTCCTCTTACCAAAAAACCGCTTATTGCATGTTTTTGTACAAAATTTAGACACTACAGCAAAATGCTAAGAAACCTTTTTTCCCAATTTGGCAACCTTCAAATTGATTTTAGACCCATGGTTCCTTTGGCGAATTTGCTTGGAATTACACGTAGAATCCGGCTGTGCTATACGCTCATAGTCGGAAAATTCTCCCATACAAATTGACCCGTCCAAATCACCATACAACATTAATTTATCATTCATATATCAAGGTTTTCTGGTAAAAAAAAATTCCCGGTGTCCAAATACAGCTAGAAAAATAAAAATAAAAAATTTTATTTAAGAAATGTTTCGATCGAAATTTATGATTTCATAAATAGTTCCTACGTAGCGTATGAGTACCATTCTTAGCTGACATAAAAACGAAATTATTACGCATTTTCATTTGACATTTACATTTACAACGTTATTTATCAATTAATTTTCTTCGTTAATAAGCAACAATATAGTACGGGCTTAAACACAAATCAAAAGAATTTACAAAAAATCGTACAAAAATCTTGTTTCCCTGTTAAAATTTGCATTTTTTTTCAATCGCAGTGCAAGCTTAAAATAAAAATATCTTGCGAAAATTACCTGATCTAGGAAAACGGTATACAGTGCGGTAATCTACGAGCCAAAATTAAGTTTACGTGTTTCGGCGTTTTTTTTTCATTTTGGCGTCCTTACAGTGTTATTATTGAGATTAATTTTTTCACTTAAGAATAATGATTATACAAAAAAATGTAGCGACACCCTAATAAAATGAATAAGTTAATACCTTTTTAGGCGATTTGTAACTTCACCAAAATGTTTTTAAACTAATAGATCATACATATATTATCGGCTCTTGTTATACCTAAAAACATTTTAAATCCATTTTAACCGTTATTTTACATTAAACAATTTTAAAACATTACAACGCTTAACACGGCTTGTGAATCCCCCTAATTATTTCCGTGGAGCGAAAAGTAAATTTCAATAATAATGAAAGCTAAACACCTTCAACAAAAATAGTCTCAAAAATAAACATATTCAAAAATCTGATTAAAAAGTCGAAACTTTATTGAATTTTAGCGAGTTTTGCAAAAAGTTTAGAAATTGTATTTTTATGTTGTTTGTTGTAGAATGAACCATATTTTTATAAAAAAAATTAACTTAAAAAAAAGAAAATTTTAATAAAAATTATTGCATACATACATATATATGGTGAAAAATTCTCTGTACAAATTCTTTTTGACGGCAGTGTACATTCACTGCTTCTTTACAATATATGCAACAATTTTTATTGAAATAGTTTTCCGAAAATTTTGTATAAAAATATGGTTCATTTCACAACAAAAAACATAAAAATATAATTTCTAAACTTTGTGCAAAACTCGCGAAAATTCAGCCAATTTTCAAATTTTAATCAGATTTTTTTAGAATTTTTTTGAGTATGCTGATTTGTATATTGTAAAAAAGCAGCTGTGCCAATAGTTTGTACATACATACAGTGCAGAACAAAAGTGTTGGCACAGTGAATTTTTCGCAATATATGCAAAGTTTTTTAGTCTAATTTATTTTCGATAGTTTTTTATAAAAATATAGTTCATTTTACACCAGAAAACGTAATAATAAAATCCTTAAACTTTGTGCAAAACTCAGGAGAATTCATTAAATTTGCACACTAATTTGCAACTTTTTATTCAGATTTTTTAGAAAAATTCTAAGTATGCAGTTTTATAGTTTAAAGTTGCTAGAAAATCGCGTTGATTTTTGGCAATTTTTTTAGTGCAAGGTGTTGCTCATTTTCTCCATACAAAAAATATTTGTCGAATTACTTTGTATGGAAGAATTTTCGTGAAAAAAAAATTATCAAAAATCAATGCGATTTTCGAGCGACTTCAAACTTGCACTTTGTTGTACTAAATTTGAATGCGCTATAAAACTGCATACATAGAATTTTTCTAAAAAATCTGAATAAAAAGTTGCAAATTAGTGTGCAAATTTAATGAATTTTCCTGAGTTTTGCACAAAGTTTAGAGATTTTATTATTATGTTTTCTGGTGTAGAATGAACAAAATTTTTATAAAAAATTATCGAAAATAAAGTAGAATAAAAAACTTTGCGAAAAATTCGCTGTGCCAATACTTCTGTTCGGCACTGTATGTATAAAAGTAGATAAAAAAAATTTAATATAAAAAAATTGGTTTTAACCGCAACATTCCTGCTTTAAGCCATAGATCATCAATTTAGCATTTTTCTCATGCCTTTTCCAGCTAGTAACTTTCTTGAAAAATCCTTCACAGCTTTACAGAAAATAAACAATTTCTGCAGGAACATCAAACGTTATCTCGGAAAATGATTAAGAACTCCATTTGTCGCTTTTCGGTCAAGCAAGAAACAACAACCTTTCACTATCTTCGTGCCGCATCTGTAATTGTCACAAAGCTGCAGTCAGTCATCAAACAGCATAAGTATTTATTTCGTCTTAATTGATTTCCAACCTACTTACATTCATGTAGTATAGTAGTGTTGTAAAAATCATCATCGTAGCCCCAATTCGTAGCGGCTATTAAAGCATTCTGCCACAAAGAAATATTTTTCCGTGCATAAGTGATGTATGTACAGACGTATGCAAGTACATACATATGTATCCAAAAGTGTGGCGCCAATTGCGCCGCTTACTTTTTAGCTTGATGACCTAATTACTAGATTATTAACTGCTTTTGTGAATTTTTGTGTGCGATTGTCTACAATTGTAGTTAGACTACTCTTTCGCCTTTTGTTCTAACTACAATAATGCTTTCTTAATCAGTCGCCTGTTCAATTGCGAAACGCTTAACTTCTTTATCTTTAATTGTGGACCTTCGCAGCTACTTTCAGATATCGCAGCTTTTCCCCAGCGCTAGCGTATATAAATGTATAAATTCTTTAGCTNTGTACAGACGTATGCAAGTACATACATATGTATCCAAAAGTGTGGCGCCAATTGCGCCGCTTACTTTTTAGCTTGATGACCTAATTACTAGATTATTAACTGCTTTTGTGAATTTTTGTGTGCGATTGTCTACAATTGTAGTTAGACTACTCTTTCGCCTTTTGTTCTAACTACAATAATGCTTTCTTAATCAGTCGCCTGTTCAATTGCGAAACGCTTAACTTCTTTATCTTTAATTGTGGACTTTCG